GGCGGGGATGGGTTAGCACGGCGAAACAGTTCTATATGGGTATAGTATACATTATCATGAAATGCGCGGAGAAAAATCACCGAAAACGGTTTATGCGGATCAGTTTTATATACTTATATATCGTCGAATCTAGTACGCATTGCTGTTACGACAACAGTCGCGTGACGTCGTTACCACTGTACACGCGCGTTCCGCTGGCCGCCTACCGTTCGACATGTTATGATGTGTAACATAATAATATATCATATTGCTATAAGCGATATATTTTATACGATAAAAATACACGTCGCGTGCACAATAAAAACAATATACTTTCTGCATAATAACTATATTTCGTATTAAATCATTACACGTACATTTATCTTCGACTTAAAGAATAATGTATAATATATAATATTATTGTGATCTTCGTCGTCGTCGTTGTCGTTCGCTCGTGCAATAATATATTAGACGATAATATTTTATATATAGCTGTCAGGTATGTCGGCCGACATACAGGAGATGTTCACTGCAACGACGTGAATATCGTGTGCTCTTACACGGCGGTCCGCACGTACATAGCTATAGATGTGGCAACTGTCGGCTTGTGATCGGAATGATCTCAGGAGACACTTGCAGATGGCCACCGCCCTCAACCGGGCCAAACCGTTTGGACATTCGGCTCAACTTTTCTACAACGGTTTATATAATATATATAAATATATAAGTAGATATTATATATAATTACATTAAACATATAATTTTACGCCATATAACATAACCATCATAGATATTAAATACATCATTCAGTACTATAACGTGGTCATGGAATTACCTATCATTTTTGAACTGGTCTAAATGTTTTGACCAGCTCATTTGTCCAACTTAAATTACAACAGATAGTCCACATATCACCCTATAAGGTATACGTTAGCTTCAAATATATTTCTGCATAATATATTACATTTGTATATTCACGAACTGATATCATTACCCAATATTTTGTTCTGCATCAAATAACAGTTATAGAGCTCAAGATTTTCTTGTTAATTATATATATAAATGATTAGTCGGTATCATTTGCCTATCCAGGAAGCAATACCACTACTCCCGTAAAACCATCACAATTGACTGTATTAAATTAATTTATAATTTACTTTTATTCGATGTAACTACCGACTATTACAGTAAGCATTTAATAAGCAGGCATAAAAATGTTTATTATTATTTCAAAATTTTGTCGTGTTATTGATTTCAAATCAAGTATAAAAATATTCTAAATACCGAAGTAAACGTTTATTCAGTTAGACGGGTAGAGTGATAGGTGGCGTCTTATTGGATTAGGAAGATAATACATCTAAAAAAAAAGTAAAAARTAAAGAGTATAAACGCTTACCTCTATAATTTTAGTCAGTCGCGTTATAACGTAATATTATATACCTAACWCCTATCTGAGATTTTGAGATATACATAATTCCCTATGAATGTATGACATTTTAATGCGAAAGTTGCGCGTAATTTACACACATAATTTTATACATAAACCTATCTGATAATTTACACATCTTAACATCAAATTAAATATACGTGATTACAATAATATATTTTGACAGTTGATATACTAATATACTATCTTAGTTTAATGGGTTTTTTTCATTACACCAAACATATACTATAGTTGTAGATACTTAAATATTTTATATAATATACCAATGGCGCCGATCACCTAATTTATCCATGACATATGTCATAGTAGATTTTATAGCTGGGGGGCCCACCAAGAGGTACTGGGGCCTGGTTGTGGTTAGGTTGTGAAAAAATTAGGGTGGGGGCAGGCCCCAGAGGGGCCTCTGAATGTACGATGTCATAGTATTTTTTAAACACTTCGGCGCCACTGAATATACTATGAACTTTAAAACAAGGGCTTTGAAGTTATTTCAATACTGTCTAAGATAGTAAAATTTTATTTAACCTTATATAATGTCTGTCTAAATGCTAAGTCCYGTAAAGCTATACTTTAAAAACAAGGCGTTCCCCATTGCATGAATCAATAATAATATTATTCAAAATTTTCAACTAATTAYTAACTTTTTATTTATCATAAAGGTAAATTAAAAACTTCCATTAATCAAAAAACTTTAAACAATCTGAAATGAACAAAAATATAGAGGCTCCCAACTGTTGTATATTATTTCAAAAATTCTAACTGGAGAAGATTATATTTCCGAAGTACAAACTTACCATAAGATTTAACATGTGATATGGTGTATATTTTAAATGTACAACAACTATCCCAGATTACGCTGAACTTTCGTTTTCCTAATGATTCTATCGTCAAACAGCAGGCAATAGGCATTCACATTTCAAAATATAAAAATCTCTTGTGCTAAAAATTTTAATAATTAATAGTTTACAAATTAAAATCTTAGCCACGTTATAGATTAGTTTTGTTTAAATATTTTTTATTATAAATGTAGATCAAATTATTAATAATAAAATAGTTTTTATACCCTTTATAAATATTTTGTTTTTAATAGATTTTTTGATTCATCATAACTAATTCTTTGATTTTATTATTTTAATGATAATTATTAAGTGATGATAGTGATATTAGACCCACCAATCGATAACCTGTTAAATTTTTTTTGTATAACTGTTTAATATGAGGAAGGTATGGTATCTTATTTTATATAAATATTTTCGATTTATTTCTCATAATGTGTATTCATGAATCATGACTGGATTAACTAAAATGTTTATGGAAAAATATAGATAGTAAAAATAAACAGAAATTGTTATAAAACGTTTGAAATATACGTAATTTCCAATAATTGCTGTAAAACCTACGATCAATAAATATGTACTATGATAATTAATAATGCTGGTCATTGATGCCTTATGTTAAGAAAACCCTATTTAAATATAATTTTATGGATGCCTAGAATTTTATTATTCAGAATAACATTTAAAAATATTATAGTAACTAGGTACCTGCAGCTAAAATTGCGATAACAATAACATATGCATTATTTATGTATAAATATCATATGCTAATTTATATGTACTTATTATATAAGATTCATAAATAAATAAGCCAAAGATTTTAAACTTGGTTAGGTTATGTCACTTGTTCATCCAATTTTAAAGGACAGTGCTACTTTTTTGGACCCTAATACAGTTGATATTTCTTGTAACCACATGAGACATACAGACAATATAGACTACCCTTAAATGTACTTAAAATTTAAGATTAAATTTACCAAATGCAGGCATCCTTTCGGGTTAAAATTCTTAAGAAACATCCGTATTTGTTGTCTCAGTTTTACAAACGCGTAACATAGCATATTTACGCTCAGCAGTTCACGTTTTACCCCGTTAGTTTAAAAATTAGAGTGAGTAGACTTATTATGAAACTTGATGGTAAGAACATTTTCTGTGTTTTGACGGAAGTATTTTTATGATACTTCAGTTTTTAAGTGTTATGGGCGTATAATTAATTGTAAAATAAAAATGCTCATAACTCACTTAAAAACTGAATCCACCGTAAAAATACTTCCAACAAAACACAGATAATGTTCTTACCATTAAGTTTCATAATAGGTCTATTCACTCTAATTTTTAAGCTAACGGAGTAAAACGTGAACTGCTGAGCGTAAATTTGTTATGTTACGCGTTTATAAGGCTGAGACAACAAATACAGGTGTTGCCGGTGTTGGGCCCAATTAAGTGGATTATTGTCAGGGAATGTTTTAAGAGGAATACCCGCAACTTTGATGTCTCCGTCATTTTATGCCCAGCAGATCACGTTTAGCTTCATTAGTTTAAAAATTAGAGTGAATTGACCTCTTATAAAATTTAAAGGACATTGTCTGTGTTCGTACGTTAAGTTTTTACGATAGTTCAGTTAAAAACTGAGTTATGAGCATATTTTAATCTACGCTATATTATATACATAAAACTTGCTAAAAAATTAAAACTATCGTAAAATCCTAACATACGAACTCAGATAATGTTCTTACCTTTAAATTTTTWAGAGGYCAATTCACTTTAATTTTTAAAGTAACGGAGCTAAACGTGATTTTCTGAGCTTAAATTTGCTATGTTACGCACTTGTTAGACGGATACAACGCATACCTACGGATAAGGAGTCCCCATAAGTTAAATTAATTTCAAGGTCATCCAACGAACTATTCGATCTAACGTCCTACGTAACCTAAATAAATACTTGGACACCTACTCAGTGCTYATACAATTTCAACTTTACACGCTTTCGTTTTAGTGTCACAGTTAACCACAATAGTTAATAGAAAGTCTAAGATTTAAGTTGTATTATGAGTGAAGCTAGACAMAGTACTTAATCGTAGGTATACTATGCAAGAAAAATTGAAATTAACTTTAATCTTGCTGTGCTACTTAATTATCAAAAGTTCTTCTAAAACATGAAAAACAATAAATAATTTATTTTATAATGTCGTCGGTCTTAGTATTTAAATATACTTCTGTAAAATATCTTAAGCAACAGAATATATTTTTGTATTTTTATCCTGGGATATGTTAAAATAGATCACTTACCTCATGATCATATTCTCCTGTATGTTCGCTAGCTGACGGAAGAGTTCATGCCAACTTGGGTTATCTAAACAAGTCATTGTATGGCTAAATACATACTAAATGGTTTTGGAATAATTATTTTTAAATCTATGTTATCTAATGTTTAAACAAAGACATATTGATCAAAAAAATGTAGTTAATAATGTATGATTAAAATTATTCAATTTGAATTCGGTACATAAACTATGTTAAGCTAAATAATTTTTAGAATTAGAATTTATTAGAATTTTTATAATATTATATTCATCATCTTTAATGATTTTAAAATTAATACATAATATGGGTATTAGGGGCCTACTCAAACGTGATAAATCACATTGTTATATCATTTATAATAATCCAATAGACCATAGGTGGTAGGTATGTATAAAGTATATAAAATTCCGATTGTGTTTTGAAGTTTTTAATTTAGATTCTCCCCTAATAGTATAGAACAAAAAGACTCGTGTTTATTTTTGTTAAATAGGATTACCAAGGATTTAGAACCCCTGTGGCCCTGTGTGTTTTTAATAATATATTATACGCATTACAATACAGCACTGTATACTCTGGTATATTATGTATAATTATAATGTTTACTATTAATCCCTCGATATATTTAAGACATAAGAGGGTGTCAGGCGTCAGTACAATATTTGTTTTCTCTCCCACATCCACATGCATCAAAACGCATTAATGTAGAATAGTTTTTTTGAAATRTAAAATAAATAATTGGGGGATCTGGAGTGGCCCGGTGGTTGATCACATTCACAGATGTGTGCTATTGCCAAGTATCGTTTGGTTTCGAAGACACTCGGGTGAGTGACCACCCGAGTTCTTCGTAAAGAATCCTTGTACCACATAAAATCACGTGTTTTAACCATACCAACTGTAACTTCCACACAAATCCAATGGTTTTCATGTCACCRAGAGTGGAAATAAAATAATAATTATTCAAATAAATATTTAATAATTTGAATGTATATAGCTATAAACAATAATTGCTGATAAAACAATAAGAAATGTGACAAATTATTTTACATTTTTAAAATGTTTATATAAAAGTATTTAAGTATTTAATTATTTAATATAAACTTTTCGATGTACTTACGTCTAAAGTTGAAAATGAATTCATCCATAATTTGATGGTGTAATATGATACACAACATGTGATTTGTAAATACCCGTATTATAATGTCTCAAACGTGGCGTCGTGTTTGTTTACAGATCCGTACGAGGTAGTCAACGCGGCCAGCAGTCGACTTGTAGCCCAAGCAGCAGCAGGCTCGGGGCAAATACAACTGTGGCAGTTCCTGTTGGAGTTGCTTGCCGATTCCAACAACGTTGGATGCATTTGCTGGGATGGTCCTGGAGGCGAATTTAAGCTAATTGACCCAGATGAGGTAGCCAGGCGTTGGGGCGAACGCAAGTCGAAGCCCAACATGAACTACGATAAGCTCAGCAGAGCTCTCAGGTATAATTATATATAATCATACATTTTTTTTTCAGGGGCGTAACCAAAATTATGCTTTGTTTTAGGGTGGTCATAATATGTCATATAGGATTTTTCATCTTGAGTTTATTTGTTAAAGCAATGAGAACATTTTAGACTTTTGCAGAAACTACTATACAATTAAAATTTTAATACATGGTTACGTGTCTTGGTGTTATTTAATACTTTCACTGCAGATTATTGAATGTATTTTTAAATACAGCCTTCTTATATACTCCCGAATATGCCATTATTACTAAATATTTATGTTACAAATTTACGATTAAAGGTAGTGCCTATTACTTATARCACTTAACTTAATGTATTGATCGATATAGTATTTGTATCTAATCATATGAAAACTTAATAGTAATATTATTTTCGCTCCCTTGACATACCTACATTATTGACACCTCATTGTGCTCTTTAAAAAGTCAATGCATTTACCAGTTTTGATTTGATTATACATATTAGAAATTAAAGTGTTACGCACATATATTGAATACGCTTCTCATATAATATACTCTATATACGAATAAGGTATGGGTAAAGGTTAAGGAGTGATTTTTAATTTCTTAAATACGTTAGTTAAAATATAATAGTTTTATATTAAAAATGAAATACAGCAAGGTTTTTATTATACAATAGGTACATTTTTATTGATCTTTATTTAAGCTAAAACTCATTCCATTAGAATTACATAAATTATTAATATTATTATCCGATTTTTTTTTATATAAATGTYTCCTTTTTTTTACAATTGATTAGTTTGAAAAGTTTTCCATGTTCCATCAGCTGCAAAGAACAAAATATTATATTTTATATCTTGTCAAGAACTGTCGATTATATGACCTATATGATCAGCATATGAGTAGATAAAATGTTTGTCTTTATATTCACCGAAAATAAACGTCGGAACAAACCGATAAAAATTACCACATAATATTACGAAACATATATATTACCTATATAAGATTGGTTAGCACTTTTAATTTTAAGTCATTAAATTCGGTATGTCCCAAAAATAACCAGTGTCATTACAAGTGATTCCAACTGAATCTATAATATACATTAAATTAAATAAGTATATTAATTTATTTTATTAATTATGGTTAAACAATGAATCGATTTGAAACTTTCTTTTTACAAATAATATTCGGATATGTAATTTTATTTAGAAATATATTCTGTATAATAATATGTTTTATTGTATAATTATTTATATGGCGTTGTCATTATAATATTATATCGATGTCATGTCACAGGTACTACTACGAYAAGAACATCATGACCAAAGTTCACGGCAAACGCTATGCATACAAGTTTGACTTCCACGGGCTGATGACCGCGTGCCACCAGAGCCAGCCGCAGATGCCAGTGGCGCAGTCCGGTCCCCAAGCGGCCGCTGGTCCATCATCGGTCGCCGTGCCGTCTGCAGCGCCGTCACCGTCCGAATTTTCTGGCGGCCTGTACGGCCAGCAGCACGTTTCTGTTTCCAGTCCACCGACCACCATATTTCCGGCCGGACCGTCCTACTGGGCCACATCCGCCGCGGGCCTTTCTACGTTGTACCAACATCCAACCGGGCCGCGGTATCCACCGTAATCCCATACATCCTAATACAATATCATATGACAAGGGATGAATTCTCGTACACCCTAAATCTCGATATTTCCGTTAAATTCCAAGTTCTTTGGAAATAAATACTCGAAATCGAATAATTCAAACTCAAAACATTTCGAAAAGTTCCAGAAAAAGCAAATCCGATGTCAAGACTGTTATAAATTCAATTAATCAATAATTTTCAAAATACAAATAGCCACACATCATAGATTATATAGAACATAGAATACTTTTTTTATTTCACATATTTCCCGTATGATCCATATCAGTTTTAACTTTTATGTTTATCAGTTGCCACAATTTCATAATCGTGTTGCAATCTAATTAAATTTCGAGATTTCAATATAATCGAAAAATTCGAGTTTGATTTCAATTAGAATTTAAATTTGTGAAAATTAAAAGTCGACCATCCCTATAATATGTATACGAAAATAACTGAAAAGTGTACCGCGCGCTGCAGTTGCAACTTGTATTAAACATTTCTATAACCAAGTATTATGTCGAACAAAATTTTTCGTTGAAATAATTTCGTAACACATTATTATTTTCAGGACACCGATTTCAATATTATAATATATTTTTCAACTCATCACTTGTAGAAAGTATCGAAGTGATGCGTTGTTTTCGTGGAACACGGAAACATACATTATTATTGATATTTCAATTTGTTTGTTTCCATCCATAAAAACRAGACTTCATTAATCATTACTAATAATATCATAATCGGCAGCATTTCTCGCAATATTCGACAATACGCCTAACCCTAATCGGCCTAATCCCATCATTATACTTATACGGGGTGTGAATCCGTTTTTTTCTCAATATTATATTATGATCCCTATTATAAAACAAAAGTGCACGATAAATTTTGATTAAACAAATATCTTCATTAATAACTGTTTAAAATTATACACATGAACACATGACTTTAGATTCTTCATTGTACATATTATTATAGTGTCTTATTATAAAAAAAGATAATCGTTAATACTACAAGACAATAAAACATCATATACACTACAATTTACAATTTACAATTTTAAAATACTCATAACTTTCTTAAAAATTATATCAAATCGAGTTTATGACCTGAAGAAGCTCTAGATAATAATCCTTACATTTAAATTTGGTAATTATTGATCAATAATTCTCAATTCACTCTAATATAAAAAATAATTACTCAATAGAATAAGGTTAATTATTCTGAACATAAAATGTGGTATATTATTCGTTTATATGGCCGATATAATAGTTAAATACACTATGCAGGTACAACATCTTAAAAAGAGAGGTTTATATTTTCATAAATTAATTTAAATTAATAATATACCTAAGTCTCAAGTATCCTATTAAATTATTAATGGTAGGTATAATACTTGAAAGTAAAAATGATCTCATTAAATTTGAAATAATATTAATATAGTTATAAAAAACAATTAAATTATTTAACTGTTTTTATGTATGATAAGTAAGTACTTCGAAGTTTGTACGGCAAATTAATATTTAATTTTATTATTAATTAAATGAATCCAAAGCGGATAGACGACATTCGTATAGTGCAGTATAAACTACACRAGTGGGCTCGTTGACCTACAGTATTATTAAKATCCTGGACACTCGCCTTGTACTTAATAAAATACTAAATTAGTATATTAATTATAGTAATATACAATATACGTTATATAGTATTATACATGTATAATATTATTATATTATATTTATACTGTATTTGACTTGAATTTACCGTACCGTATACAGTTTACTGACCGCACAATGCACATGACTAACATTCGTATAGTTTGCATAACAAAACGTGTGATTGATTCGACGACGATCGTCACCCACTTGTAATAATGACAAATGACTTGTAGACTCATGTGACTTATGTTCTACACACTAAGTCAATACCTATTACCTACAGTATGACCAATACAACTTTCGACGTGATCTAATAACGATTTCGGTGGTTTATTGTATTAATAATATTTAATAATATRTAATTTATTTTAAATTATTTATAACTAAGGTCAGGATGTTTATGATCTTAAAAATTCGAAAATGCACTCAAATATATACGTCAGAAAAAATATAAAAATATGCTCTTAAATTAATAAGATATATGACATAAATAAAGACGTTAATTTTTTTTTTGTATTCTTTCTCAGTTTTTTTTTATTGAAACTAGTCATAAAAAGGGATTGGATTTAAAAACAATAAAAATACCTTAAGAAAATATGGTTTAATGAACTCATTATAGAATTTTTTTTTWAAATTGTTGTTGATATTATTATTAATATTTTTGACCCTGAAAAATCACATGCATGAAGTTCTTGTCATTAAAAGAAAAAAAATCACTCCTATTAATTAAACTTTATACTAGTTGTATAATATGATCCATAAACTGTACTTTTTTTTTCAAAAAACCGTGAACGGGTGGGAAATGTTTAGCACAATACTGCCACCAAGTCCCGTATCGTTTATTCACCGTCAATTATCGTAGTTATTTTATATATACGCGGGGCCTCTAACCACCTTGAAAAACTGGCCTTCGGCCCAACCATAAACTGTAACTATATATACATATTAGTGTCACTGAAAGTGATACCAACCATTACGTGTCATTTACGTTTAAATTATGATAAGTCTGTACCCAAATTTTGGCTACTTTATGCACTTACCGTTAAATCATATATTWAAAAAAAATGTTTTTAGTTTTTATCTAGAATTGTATACTATGCAACTACCTATTATGCAACATGCTGCAGCACGCGGTCGATATTAAATTATTAAGTATATATTATTATTATTTGTTATGCATTATATACTATTAAAAGTTCCTTTAAGTAGACAAAACATATTATACATAATTTGTACAATAATATATAAATTGTAAATATATAAATATTGTCGTGTTGTTTTTTAATTTTATTATATTCTGAGTATTTTTATTTCCATGAATAAATCCCCAATTATTTAAAATTGTATTGGTTACATGTACTTGGTACTTCAAAATTAAAAGTTAACATTAACAAACTTTAGTWCTCATAAAAAAAAATTATATGTTATAATACATATAACACTTATAACTGAATAGCGTACAACATGTTTTAATCATTGATTGAACATATTATAAATTTAAGATTCTGAGCGGAGCGATAAATGTATTGATATTAGAATGATGTATGTTTTKATTTTTTTTTGATTTGTGTGTGTATTTACTATAAGATGTACACGATAAGTTGTCGAAATAATGCTTTGATTTTCGACTTCAGTAGGTTTTCCGACGAGAAAGTGAATCTAGTTGGTGCATTGGAGAGGTCAAAATTTCCAGTATTTGTCAAAACTGCCAAGAAAAACAAAAAAAATTAAGGAAAAACAAAAATGTTCACTCAAAATCGGTTTCAGATATTATTCTCTAAATTTGATTTAAAGTTACTCTTAACTTTAAAACAAATTACCGTAGATACATGAAATTTTCACTCAATTTTTATAATGTTATACATTATACAATTATAATATTATTATTATCATTATTATTCTATTGTTAATATTGGCATTTCTTATAATTGATAAAATTTTCAAAATATTTAAAATATTATTAAGTTATTTATAGACATTTGAAATTTGTAATTTTTTTTCTATAAAT